CCCGAGCGAGCGGACGCGGCAGCCACCGCGCCTTCTCCAAGACCCGGCAGCGTGCGCCCCCGCAGCCCGTGGGACCCCGCGCCCCAGAGCGCGTCCAGCGGCCTCCGGGTGGAAGGGCGCAACTTTCCCCAGGTCCCTGGAGGGGCGGGGACGGCAGTGGGACAACTTGGGAAACTTCTCCCGGCGGACGGCAGGGACGCCGGGCGCTGCTGGAAGGAGATGTAGGAGGGCAGTGCCCAGCCCCAGTATCTCCCAACCTCCGGGGCGCTTCTCGGCCCGGCCATGGGACTCCAGGGCCCTCTACGCCGCCAGAGGGGCGAACCCCGAGTCTAGTCGCGCGGGGTGGGCCAACTCCGTCGCTCCGTGCGCTCGCCCTGGGCCAGCAACGCCCCCTCCGGCCGGCTCTGCCATGGACTACCAGGAGCCCTACTCGGTGCAGGCCACCGCGGCCATCGCGGCCGTCATCACCTTCCTCATTCTCTTCACCATTTTCGGCAACTCGCTGGTGATCCTGGCGGTGCTGACGAGCCGCTCGCTGCGCGCCCCGCAGAATCTGTTCCTGGTGTCGCTGGCGGCCGCGGACATCCTGGTGGCCACGCTCATCATCCCCTTCTCGCTGGCCAACGAGCTGCTGGGCTACTGGTACTTCCGGCGGACGTGGTGCGAGGTGTACCTGGCGCTCGACGTGCTCTTCTGCACCTCGTCCATCGTGCACCTGTGCGCCATCAGCCTGGACCGCTACTGGGCCGTGAGCCGCGCCCTGGAGTACAACTCCAAGCGCACCCCTCGCCGCATCAAGTGCATCATCCTCACCGTGTGGCTCATCGCAGCGGCCATCTCGCTGCCGCCCCTCATCTACAAGGGAGACCGGGGCCCCCAGCCCCGGGGGCGCCCGCAGTGCATGCTCAACCAAGAGGCCTGGTACATCCTGGCCTCCAGCTTCGGGTCCTTCTTCGCGCCCTGCCTCATCATGATCCTGGTCTACCTGCGCATCTACCTGATCGCTAAACGTAGCCACCGCAGAGGTCCCAGGGCCAAGAGGGGCCCTGGGGACGGTGAATCTAAACAACCACGCCAGGTTCCTGGGGGAGCCTCCCCCAAACTGCCAGCCCTGGCCTCCCATTTGGCTGCTTCCGGAGAGGCCGATGGACACTATAAGCCCACTGAAGAGAAGGAGCCCCCGGGCGGGACCCCTGAAGATCCTGGGAACCCAGCCTCGCCACCCAGCTGGCCTGCCCTTCCCCATGCAGGTCAGGGACCGAAGGAAGGCGTTTGTGGTGCATCTCCGGAGGGGGAAGTTGGAGAGGAGGAAGAGGAGGAGGAGGAGGAGGAGTGTGAGCCTCAGGCCTTGCCAGTGTCCCCTGCCTCCGCTTGCGGCCCACCCCTGCAGCAGCCACAGGGCTCGCAGGTGTTGGCCACCCTGCGTGGCCAGGTGCTCCTGGACAGGGGTATAGGCGCTGCAGGTGGGAAGTGGTGGCGGCGGGCCCAGCTGACCCGGGAGAAGCGGTTCACCTTTGTGCTGGCCGTGGTCATAGGCGTCTTCATGCTCTGCTGGTTCCCTTTCTTCTTCAGCTACAGCCTGGGCGCCATCTGCCCGCAGCACTGCAAGGTGCCCCATGGCCTTTTCCAGTTCTTCTTCTGGATTGGCTACTGCAACAGCTCGCTGAATCCTGTCATCTACACCATCTTCAACCAGGACTTCCGCCGTGCCTTCCGAAGGATCCTTTGCCGCCAGTGGACCCAGACGGCCTGGTGAGCCGCCTGCCTGCTGCCCTTGCGGGGCTGGTGCCAGGTAGCACCAGGGCCACAGTGCTGCCTACCCTGTTTTATGTGGCCACCTCCCTGGGGCTGTCTGGTCTCTGCCCAGGTACTGCAGGCCTCATCTTGGGAGCACCCTGGGAGGCGCACTGGCAGGAGTGCTGTTCACAGGGGTCTTGCCTTGCTGTCCCAGCTGTGGGGGGACGTCTTCTCCGCGCCCTGCCTGAGCGCAGGCAGATGGAGGAGGCCTGGGCCTTCCTGAGTGTGGCTGAGGCCAGGCTTGGATAGAGCACCTCCCTTCCAGAACCCCAGAACCTGTAAGCTTCCTTGAGGACCGTGTGGTCTCTGGCAGGCCACTTGCTTGTGGTGTTTTCTTTCTTTTTCATCTTCCCCAGTAAAGAGCAGGAAGCCAGCTTCCATTCTCCCCAAGAGGCTGAGGAGGGGGCAGAAACCATGATGGCTGTGCATTGCTGCTGAGGGCCGTGGTCCCCATCAGGCTCTGAGTGAGGGTTTATAGGCTGGCACTGTCCCTGGGCCCTTCTTCCCCTTCCCTCTGCTTTTGGATTTATAGCTTCTTTGAAGGCCAGAGCTATGATCTGAGTCCCACCCGGCGCCCCTCTGGAGGCCTGGCCTCTGCCTCAACAGGACGTCCCTGATCACTAGCATTCACCCCCTGCAAAATCCAGGGCAACAATAGCTTGCCGCCTACTCGCTGCAGGGAGATGAAAGGCATTGCATGAAGCTTTGAGCTCCATGGGGGAACCTAGAGAACCAGAAAATGTGATTATTTGGTGATATGAAAGTCCCCTTTCTCTGTGTTTACCACCACCTGTCTTCCTATAGACTTTTGTTCTGTGCCTGGGGTGTGTGAATTCCTACCCCAAAATGGAAGTGGGGAGTGGCAGGCAACCACTATTTCAGTTAAAGGATTTCTTGAGAATGTACTCTTGTGCCTGCAAAGGTTTGAGTTATGCTGCATGGCAACTTGACATTTCACCTACAACACCAAGAGGGTTTTCTGTGCTGTTCACAGGGGCCTATCCTAAGCCTTGCCTTGCTGGCTCGGCCAATGGGCATAAGTCTTTGTCATCAAGAAGGCAAATTATTTCCCCAAGATAGCTAAAAGTACCCACACCCTGGGAACGGTCTGACAGGGGAGCCTGTGGCAGGTGACAGAGACCCCAGGTGGGGTTCTGGGCTGGAGCAGGTGAGCAAGGGCTCTCTGGACCCCTGGGGGAGCCTCAAACTGAGTGCCAAGCAGGGCTCTAAGCCCCAAATGGGTCCCTGTGATGCACAACTGATCCCGCTTGGATGGATGTTGGCTGGCCACTTCCGACCCAGCCACTTGGCTCTACTCCACTGATGGGGCTCCAGGGGCCTCTTCCTCCTGGTTCTTAACCCCCCACACCAGGCCCTTGAACCCAGAACAGTTTGGAGCGTGTGAAGAATGTTTCCCAGTGCCCCCCTGTAGGAGTCCCTGACTTCAACAGTAAGCCAGCGGGATCTTGGCTGGAGTGAGCTAAGTGGCAGGGCACTATTGCCACTCTGATGGACCTGGCCACGTGGGGAAGGGTGCTGAGGCTTTTTTCTGGGGTAGAGAGAATGGAGAGGACCAAAGGGAGACCCTCAGTTTGTTCCTCAGTCTCAGTGTGAGGCCAGGGCATTGCCCTGGGGCTGGGCTGGGTGGGCCTGAGGGAGGGGCTGACTTGTGACATCTGCTGACTGGTCTCTGTGCCCCAGGGCACCCCTAATTTTGTTGCCTATGGCCCCCTTATTGTGACATGCAGATTTTTTTTAAAAGTCTGAGCTATTTTATCAATAAAAGATATTTTGTAATAAGCACACTGTGTCGTCGTTGCCCAAGACTGCTGGCTGTAGTCATCCCTCAGCCACGTGTAGCAGACTTGCATGGTGGCCCTCCCCTCCTCCAGCTGGTTACCAACCCAGCTGCCTGCCTGCTTTGTCCACGAATCATCCCTTATTATTACAAGACAGTGGGGGTGGAAGTGGCCAGGGGAGCCTGAGACTGGCTGCTTGGGAAGAAGGAAAGGGAGCCTTACCAGAGGAGGTGTCTTTTGGGCTGGGTCTTGGGGAAAGACAAGGAGCACCGCCAGAGGCAGGCTAAGAAACAGCACATGCAAAGGGTGCTATGTGGTGGACTTGATAGTTTGAGAGTCAGCCGGAAGCTGGCCTTGCTGGGCAGCCAGGGGCAGGAGTGGGGGCCACGGACGTGATCAGATGCCACCCACATGGTGTGGGCAGAAGAACGGGCAGGGCGCTCCGTGGAATGGAAGCTGCTGCCTTCAGTGAGGGCAGGAGAGTGAGTGGAGCTGGTGTGCTTCAGGCTCTCACACTGAGATTCAGTCCCCATGTCCGAGCTGGAGTCTCCTCATTTCCAGTGAAAGCACCTGAGGCCCCAAAGCTGCCCTGTGCACAGGAGTTCGGTCCACCAGGCCTCCTGATCCACCTCCCGGCCAGCCTCAGGCCAGACAGGGCAGGTTGGTCCCATGGCCAGCAGGAGACTGGGGTTGGTTAGGGTATTGCCAGGGAGGGTGCAGCCTGGGAGGGGAGGGTGAGGAGGAGCAGTGAGACCCCACGGTGTGGAAGTGTAAGGCCACCCTTTACCTCTACCATGACCCAGGGTTCATACTTCCCAAGGCCACAGGCTTTGTCAGGGGGGACTCCATGTGTCTGCCAACATTGGTGGACTTGGGGACATGGAGCTCCACTGAGGACTTAACCAAGAAAGCCAGGCCCTGCCCTGAGAGGCTCCCAGCCCTTCCCAACAGGCTGCACCCACTGCCAAGGTCCCGAGGCCTGGCTAGGGCAGATCAGAGCAGTTCGTCTGTTTCCCTGAGCCATCGCTCTTCTGGAACTCTCTGATTACCTTGCTAGTCATCCAGGCCCAAGTCATGTTGCCTGAGGATCAACAAGGGGTAGGCCCAGGGGCCTGGGGCAGAATCTCCCTCGCAGTCTCTGGAGATGGTGGCAGAAAGTTTCCCTGCCGGAGCTGGACTGTTGGCGTTTCATTCTGAATACATTATCTCATTTGAGCCTCACAACCTTGCAGGTGTGGCAACTTTACAGAAGAGGAAACCGAGGCTGGGTCCCCAAATCACAACGCTATGAAATTCAGATGCAGAGAAATTGTGGTCCCATCTCTGGGACCAGCTTTCATTCAGTGGCCTGGCTGCGTGGGGATTCTGAGCTGCATCTGGGCCCGATTCAGTAGGTGCAGTGCTGTGATTGCTCATGTCTGTCATTTTTACAAAATGCATCAGTTATGGTATGCGTTTTACAGGGTTGCCAAGTGGTGGTGGAGTCGGGCCTGGAACCCAGGTTGCCCTCTGTCCCCACACCTCCATACGGAGGGTTTGTAGCCACACTCAGGAGTGACAGGCCCACATTGAGGAAACCTCTGCTGATAGGCCGCTGCAGGCCAGGTCCTGTGCTTGGCATGTCCCCGCTACCTAACTCAGTTCTCAGTACCCGAGGAGCAGAGTCCCGGGCACTTGCCCAGTGCTGTGTGCACAGCTGAGCTGGATCCCAGGACTGCTGGCTCCAGATTGGACCTTCTCCTCTCACACCCCTTCCTGCTGTTCTGTGTGAGCAGCACCTACTTTAGATTGTACCCTAAGCCCATCTTAGGCTTAGTGGGTTGAAGTGGGTTCAGAGCAACAGATATGGGCGAGGGGGCCCTGCTCCTCCCAGGAATAGTCCTAGCAAATGCCTGGAGGTGAGGGTAGGGACAGCAGGACAGCAAGGAGGCTTGGCAGTCTCCCGGGTGGCTGGGAGCAGTCTTGGCTGGACACTTCTACCTCTGGAGATGTCCCTGACCAAGGGGAGGCAACCGATGGGGAAGACAAAGAAGAGGTTGGGTGGGAGGGCGTAGGAAGACCTCTCCCCACTCCTGCCCCACTCTAAGAATCTGGGTCCTTAGGTCACGGAGGACACCATTGAAAGGGCTTTGAGACCCTGCCCCTGCCTCAGGCCAGCTGCTGAGAAATTGGAGGTGCTGGAAATTCCTCTCTGGAGTTTTCTTGCAGGAGGCACCCTGGCCCGCCTGCTCAGAAGGCGCTGTGGCAGGAGGGCCAGCTGGCCTGCTGTTGAGATGCAAGGTGGAGGAGGGCTTGTGGGTTCATCAGGTTCTTGTCCCCTCCCAATCCTTTGCATGACTTCCATCTTGTGTGTTTGGGGGAGTGTTGGGAAGGGCATTTGCCACCTTGTCCATCTATCCCCTGCAAATGAGGTTGCTGCTGGCTGGGAGGAGGCATCTCCCTCTGGAGTTGGTACTGGGGTACTGGGCAACCTTTTGCTGCCCTGGTGTTGGCTGAGACTTCTGCTCCAGCGCTTGGTCTCTGTGTGTGGCAATGCTGGGGTGGGATTCTATGCCACTGAAAATCATGGCGGGGACATGGTGGGAAGGTCAGGGTCATGCCTGCTTCTGCCACCACGTGTCTGGTTGCCCCTAGGTAGGGCTGGTTCCCTCTTGGGGCCTCAGTGTCCCAGCCTGCCCCCGAGGGATTGCCCCTATAGTCCCAGGAATCCCTAGCCTGAGGCTCCATCTCTGTCCCACTCCAAACCCAGCTCATCCAGCTCCTGGAGTTCTGGACACTGAGGTCCCAGGAGTTAATTAATTGTTTTTGAGTAGGGCTCCTGGACAGGATCAGGCTGTTTTCTTCGCCTTTGCACCTCAGTGGAGTGACTGCATCTGGAGTGACCAGTCAGCCTGGAGCCTTCTGAGATGGGCAGTGGAGAGAAGAATGATGGCAGCTCTGGGTCACTGGGGCCAGTGCCTGCCATGCATCATTTGAGATGGGAGCCATTACTATTCCTGTTTCACAGGTAAGGAAACTGAGGCTGAGGGGAGTTGAGGATCTTGTCTGAGGTTATCCAGAGCCAGGATTACAATTCCACCCAATCTAATCTCAACTGTGTCACTAACTGGCCTCAGTTGCTGCCCACCCAAAGTGGGGAGCAGGCTTGGGGACCTCCCAGCCCAGCAAAGCTTCTGACCTGCAGAGACCCCGGTTTAGGGGTGATCTCCCTGCCTGTTGGCACCTCCATTAGAGCAGGGCCCAGGCAGGGGAGGACATTCCCACCCTCCCAGGCTCCGCTCACTGTTAGCAGGGGAGGCAGGGAGCACAGGGCTAAAATTAGACTCTGGG